GTTTGGTGCTCGCACGCTGTGGTTGGCTCTGGGCAGGGCGTTTGGCACAGCAGTTCAAAGCAGCCGTGCCCGTCCCGGGGAGCTGTGGGCAGGGATGCTCCGGGAGAGGGGCTGGGCAGCGGGAGGGGCGGCGGCTTGCTTCGCTGTGTGTGTGCTGAGCTCTCGGCAGGTTCCTCCTGCTGCTGGAGAGCTCAGGCTGCTCTGCCGGCAGCGCAGCATGGCATGAGTGCAGGTGCAGCGGGACAGAAAGGAGGAGAGGTCGGCTGGGAAAGTGTTTGCCCAGCAGACATGGCACAGGGGGCACCCAGCTGCTTGTGAATCCATCTGGGAAAAAAATCCTCTGTGCAGGTCCCGGGGCAGGTGAGAGCTTTGGCTGTGAGAGCAGCGTCAGCATGTTATCACCCCGTGGTGCTGCTCTCTGCTCTGAGTTACTGCATGTTGTGCCACGTCCTTTGGCAGGTGTCGTGCCCCGGGGCACAGGCTGCCCGCGGTGTGTGTCCCGTGCCCCTAAAGGGCAGTGGGCTCTCGGGCTTTAATCCGGCTAGAGACCTGTTTGCAGAGAGGAGTGAGTAATGGCTGAGGAATTTCGACGAGCTGGCAGAACTCAGTTGGCCGATTGCCTTCTCCCGGCTCTGGCCAGCCTGGCATTGCACATCCAGCACATCATCTGCGGTGTGTCACAGCCAGCCCTCCCTCCCCGCGCCCTGCCGGCCCTCTCGCTCTCCTCGCTGGAGTATGAAGCAGAAAATCAATCCAGAGCCTGTTTAGGAGCACTGCTGGTGCCGCAGAGCTGTGCTTGACTGCAGGGGGATGAGAGAGGAGCTGTTGCTGTTGGGGATTTGGCTGTGGAGCTCGCTGGGAGCCTGGATCGGCGCAGGAGAGGTGCTCTGCTTGCTCTGGAGAGTGTGTGTTGGGTGTTTTCGTGCTGGCTCTGATTGTTCCCAGGCTTTTGTGTGTGAGGAGCCAGCTGAATTGGTGTTTCAAAGGCACAAGGGAACAGTGTGTCCTTCCCTGTGATAACAGCCACAGGGAAGCCTTCTGAGGAGAGGTATATTTTGGGTCTGCTCTGTCTGTAATGTGTTTTTCGTGGCAGAAAAATGTAAATGCTCTGAAGTTCTGTTCTATGCTGGTAGGAAACAAGGTTCAAAAGCTGTGGGAGGGAGGAATTGCTTGGATCTAGGGCTGGAGTTGGTGCCCTAATAACAGAGGAGTTTCCTTGGGGTGGGGAACTGTCGGGGAAACAGCCTGTGCCCCGGCACTTTGTGGGATTTGCCAAATGGCTGGGTGAAGCTCTGCTTCTCTGTCCAGCTAAACTCTGTGTGCTCTTTCCCCAGGGATTGTCACTAGCCCACCTGTTGCCCTGACTCTTGCCCTTGGAGGGAGCCAGTCATGGGAGAAACGGGCAAAGAAGAGTACAAAATACAGTCGTTCGACTCTGAGACTCAGAAGCTGCTGAAAACAGCCCTCAAAGGTCAGCAGGGTTTTACAAGCTCCTCTGCCACATGCAGCTTCTGCACCATGTAACGTGGCTGTGCCAGACCCTGCACCAACCTTGGCTGCTTTCCAGGTACCCCAAACCAATCAGGCAATGTTGAGTCCTATGTTTCTCCTCCCTGCAGACCCCAGCAATGTGGACCTGGAGAAAGTGGCCAATATTATAGTGGACCAGTCCCTCAAAGACTGTGTGTTCAGCAAGGAGGCAGTACGTATCTGCTTCACCATCATCCAGGTGAGACCTCCTGTGTCCAGACAGCGAAACACAGGCTGTGTTGTGTGGCTGTCCCTCAGCTGGGCCAGAACAGGCTTTTCCTCAGCCCTGTGCTCTGACCCCTTGGTCAGCTTTCTTCTCCTGCTGCTTGCCCCATGCAGTGGCAGCATCCAGAGGAGCAGTGAGTTGCAGCTTTCCTGCCTCTCTGGGAATCACGGGAGGTTATCTGCACGGTCCTGCATCCCTCTGCCCCTCTCACATCCCCATTTCATCCCTCCATCCTGCTTTTGTGGGCTCACAGGCAGAGAGCAAACAAGTGGG